AAGGGTCTGCTCGTCAATCAAGGACACACAAGCAACGGCGCTGCGGGAACTGCCATCGTGCTAGTTGGATTTTTGGGGTTGCTCACCATTTGGTACGAGAAGCGACGAGCCAGAAGGGTACGATTTTGTATTTCTCTCAGAAAGAAAACCTGCTAACATGTCACTCCAGACACAAGCCATCAACCACTCGGGCATCTTCGTCTTTTGGGTCGTCATGACGGTGCTCTCGGCCCTTCTCACGCTGTCGGCACTGATCTATACCTTTGTGGTCACCAACCAGACCGACGACCAAACCATCAATCTCACAGTCGCCGCGGCCAACGCTGAGCCCAGCATGTACCCGCTGGACGACTGGACGCCGGAAAACTGGTTCGTGGCGGTGCTCGCCCTGCCCCTCGCGCACGCCAGCGACCGTCGCGACATCCGCAACCACCTTCGTCTGATGAGAGGGTGGAGATGGAACCTTATCCCGCTGTTCATCCTCGGATTGACCGTGACCGCCCTGGCCATTTGGGAGTTGGTTAGTGGACGGCGGTGGAGGCAGGGCGATTCCAAGGAGAAGCTCCGCAACTCGACGCAAAGCCAGAGCTATTGATCTCGCTGCGCCATTTCGCCGGGGGAGTTGATTTGAAAGTTACACAACAACAGGAGAGGGAGAGAGCGCCGCTCGCCCCAAAAAGTTGAACGGGAGAGGGCCTTTTTTCTCCTCGCTCGCCATAGAGAACCGGATACCCCCCATCATTTATTCTTTCGATCCAGCTACTACACCGTGTATTCACGACTATTGTTATTTGTTACTATTTTCTTTTGTTTTTCAGAATCATCATCGATCAAGCAAGCAAGCGCATGTTTTGGCATGGATGGAAAAGGTGGTGGAAGGAGGAAATTACTACACATACATAGATTGACACACCTCGATTTGGGAGATACGGAGAGGCAGGGAAGGAGGAAAAAGGGTGAACAAGGGTGGAATTTTATAACTATATGGAGTGGGTTGTTAATCTCTGATGAGATTCCTTGACGACAAGACAACGATATTCACATTGACATTGACATTGATATCCACGCTCGTTTTGAATATCAACGACATCAACACCGACATCAATTACACTGAGCCATATATATTCGGTACACATGTTTCTCAGGGTACGAGGTAGAGAGGGTAGAGTCAATTCTGAAGGTACAAAATAGAGAGTACGGATATGCGTACTCGGTACGAGGTCGGACTTGAAGGACGATACTATGCAGGTACTTACTCGCACGAAGTATTCTTTATTATCGTGAGTATTACCATGAGTACCTATTCTATTCTTGCGATGAGAAAATCCTCCCTCTGTAATTCGGTACAAGAGTCCACTGCGTAGATTGCACGGCTTCCACCGCCCTCTCTCTCTCCCTCGTCTTGTCGCGTCTCATAGCTGTAGCTGTACTTGTACTTGTACTTGTTCCCCATGCTTGCCCTTTATACCGTCAACAGGCAGACTGGGTATCTCTCCTCGGTAGAGAGTCTTGACTACTGGCCCCCAACACGTGGCAAATGGCAAAAGCAAAGGCAAAAGCAAAGGCAAAAGCAAAGGCAAAAGCAAAGGCAAAAGGCAAAAGGCAAGAGGCAAATACCAAGGTGGTAACCAAAAATACCTCTTCCCTAGTCATCCCACGAGTACTTAATAGTACTTAGTGTACGGAGTACGAGCACGGAGTATGTACTCGGTACTCGGTATCTAGTAGTAGTACGGAGTAGGGTTCGATCTCTGATCTCTGATCTACTTTTGTATGTACCGAGGACTTCGTACCGAGTCCCCGTGCCCCTTGCCCTTGTTCGTCCTTCGGGGGCCGTTTTCCTTTCTTTTCTGGTAGGGGGTTCCTTGATTGTTATTGTCCGGATTCTGTCAGTCTTGGACCCTGGAATGATTTTGGGGTGGCTTTTTGAAGGGGCAAAGAGTCTACTAGTACCGAGTACCGAGTACTAAGTAATCAAGAACCTGACAGGTCGGATCGTGTCGTGTGGTGTCATCTCGCGTCGTGTGGACGTCGGATCGCATCGTGTCATTCGTGTTGTTGGCCACGTGGAATATACATTTTATGATATCATATACGAAATACTCGGTTCTCGTGCAAGTGACTTGTTCGTATTGAGCTTGACTCCGAGTACGAGGTTTTCATCGCCTCTACCTCATAGGGCGTGTGACTCGTACGGGTTGTGGCAAGGAAACGGAAAGAGTGGCGCAGTTCATTGTTCCTCCAGGGTGGCTGGTACCGTGCCTATCCATCAAGAGAATCTTCTGACAGGCGAAATCCCGTCACACTCGCAGGTACTCGGTCCTTGCTTGTTCTCCGGGGACTCTTGGGCGTGGATCGAGTTGAAGTGATCGATTTCACTTCTTGGTCTCTATATTTCGTTGTCAACGTCACATGAGTATCGTCCAATCCCGAGAACCCCATGCATGCTGAAAATGAAGAGTTGTGAGACTACTCAATGTGTTTGCTGTCCATGGTCTATCGACCTCGCCCACCCCGTTGGGTGTATCTCTATCGTACACAGAAAACAAACCTCAGCCTCGTTCTCTCCCCCCTTTCCTCCGCCTTGGCAAACCCGACACCGTAACCGGGGGTCTCTCGGGATCTCACCCCCGACCCAGAAACCAACAATGGCGCTATCCTAAAGAACGACCCGGGAAACCGCTCACCAGTCATTGGCGGCGGCTAGACTTCAGTTCTTCATCGCCAAAGGACCCCTTGTCGTCGAGGATTGGGCTTGTGTGCATTCTGACCTGATAGACGGCGAAATCTGTCTTTGCACCGTGGAAGATATCAGACACTATCGATCCCGGGCAAGAATCTCCAAGATGACCCCAGACGCCATAGAGACGAGACTATTCATCAACAACGAAGTATGTTCTTCCAGGTGGTTTTACTTCTTGAACAACACTCTGACTTGATGGATTAGTTCGTCCAAGGCAAGCAGGGAAAGACCTTCAAAGTCCACAATCCCTACAACGACCAAGAGATATGTCATGTCCATGAAGCCACAAAGGAGGACGTCGATCTCGCAGTCGACGCCGCCGAGGCTGCTTTTCCCCAATGGAGCAGCATTGCCGCCCATGAGCGGGCAGCCTACATGTTCAAGTTTGCCCAGCTCGTGCAGAGAGACGCCCCCCAGCTGGCCGAGTTGGACTCAATGTGCATGGGCAAGTAAGCAGCACCGTCTCCTTCCAGCTTTGACAGGTTGAAGCTTGGGGGTTTCTTTGCCAGAGCGGTCACGATAACTAACTTACATCACTCCCCAAAAGGCCCGTTGAACTTCTCAAGAAAATGGACATCCCGGCTTGTGTGGGCGTCTTCAACTATTTTGCCGGCAGCGGATACCATATACTGGGAGAATCGAGCCTCTCCTCCCCAAACTTTCTCAATGTCAGTGTGCGGCAGCCTTATGGTGTGGTCGGCCTGATTATTCCATGGAATGTGAGTTCTTTTGTCCTCGGTGGCCATCACCACTGTTGTTCCAGCGTTCGTCAAGTTGCTGAGAGTCAACTTAGGTCCCGATGATCATGTTCGCCTTCAAGGTCGCCCCGGCCCTGATCTGCGGCAACACGGTCGTGCTCAAATCGTCGGAAAAGGCACCACTCAGCTCCCTCAAGCTGGCCTCCCTGATCAAGGAGGCAGGGTTTCCGCCCGGCGTGGTCAACGTGGTCAGCGGGTTTGGCGACCCGACGGGCTCGGCCATCGGCCTGCACATGAAGATCCGCAAGATCTCGTTCACGGGGTCCGTGGCCACGGGCCGCAAGATCCTCAAGATGGCGGCCGACTCGAACCTCAAGAACGTCTCGCTGGAGCTGGGCGGCAAATCGCCCGCCATCATTTTTGAGGATGCCGACCTCGAGGCCGCGGCGCGGTACACGCACTACAGCATCAACCACAACAGCGGCCAGCACTGCCAGGCCAACAGCCGCGTGCTGGTGCAGGAGTCCATCGCCGACGCGTACATCGACATGGTCAAGAAGCTGATGGCCAAAGTCACCCTGGGCGACCCGGCCGACCCGAGCACGTTCCAAGGCCCGCAGGTCGACCAGAAGCAGCTGGCCCACATCCAGCGGCTGGTCGACCAAGGAAGTAAAGACGGCACGCTGGTGTGCGGCGGCAAGCGACATGGCACGACGGGCGCCTTTATCGAGCCGACCATTTTGAAAAACGTCCCGCTCGACTCGGCCGCCTACACGGAGGAGATCTTTGGGCCCGTGGTGATTGTGAATACCTTCAAGGACGAGAAGGAGGTGCTTGCCGAGGCCAACTGTACCGACTTTGGGTTGTTTTGTGAGTATACCTTTTGTCTCCATTCCGACTTGAATTACTTCCTTCCTTTCCTTTCTTTTCCCTCTCCTGTCCTTCGCTTCCTGTCCCTGCTGCTATACATCTCCACAAAGCCAAAGAAAGATACACAGTATACAGAATTGTATAAACTGACCCCTCGGCCCCGGTGCCCAATCGTCCACAGCATCCGTGTACACGCAAAACTTTGACCGGGCCGTCCGGGTGGCCAAGGCGCTCGAGGCCGGCGCCGTCGGCATCAACTGCTCGGTGCCCGTGCGCGCCGTCGACATGCCCATCGGCGGCTGGAAGCAGTCCGGCATGGGCAAGGAGCTGTCCCTGCACGGCCTCAACACCTACACTGAGCTCAAGACCATCTTTATGAAGTACAACGCCGACCCGACGGCCATGGCTGTGGGGACGTGGCATTCGGGACAGCGTGTGGATGGGATCCAATAGGGACAATTCATCATAGGCTTTGCTGGGTGGGAGATGGATGATGGAAGAGAAGATAGGGATGGAGGGTTGTGCATGATATACTTGTCTGTTCCGCTCAAGGACATCTAGATAGGAGTCGATAGAGTCTAGAATCCATCGGCTACATCGAAATCCAAGTCTATATAAATCTTTGCCGACTTCTCTCCTTCCTCTCCCGCTCTCTCTTTGTTCATCTCCATCTACCTATTTACCTCCCTTTATTTAGAACCTCTCAAATCCGCCACCAACTTCCCCATGACGTCCCCGCGCTTAATCCTATCCAACGCGCCGTTGATGTCGCCCAACTCCACGACCTCGAGCTCCGGCACGACCTTGCCGGCCGCGAACAGCGCCAGGGCCTCTTTCATGTCGGTCTTGGTGCCCGTCTGGTTGGAGCGGACGAGCAGGTCCTTTTTCAGGAGGGGGCGAAGGGACATGCTTTTTATTTTGCCCAGGGTTAGAGAGACGGAACGAAAACCCCAGGTAAGCGGTGGGGTTTAAAATCTCGAACTTACTGCAGATTCCCGATCCCAATGGCCATGATCTGTGCGCCGAATCTGGCGTATTCTCCCGCGGCACTGGGTCACACACACACACACACACACACGTCAGCTGGGACCTGTCTCCCTTTTCCTTGGCCACGAAAAAGGAGTGTTTTTTTCGTCATGTGTAATGTGTAAGATTATCACACTGGGCAAAAAAATGCTAACAGAGAGAGAAAAAATAAAGGCGACAGGAAAACGTACTCATACGACGACTGATGCGGACTCAGCACGAGAATGTAATCCGCCCCACCGCCCGTCCTGTCGACGATCGTCTCGACGAGCCCCGGCGCCGTGAAATCGACAAAGACGTCGGCGCCCATTTTGGCGCAGAACCGCTGCTTCTCGGGCGCGCCGCCGTCAATGGCCAGCACCTTCAGCCCCATGGCCCGCGCGTACTGGATGGCCAGGTGGCCCAGGCCGCCGGCCCCGCCGACCACGACGCACCATTTGCCCGGTTGGGGCCCCATGCGCCGCAGCGCCGCGTAAGCGGTGACCCCGGCGCACAGGATCGGGCAGACACTGGGTAACGAGACGCCAGACGGGACGGGCACGAGCTGGGAGGTCGGAAAGGAGATGTATCCTGATCAAGAAGGAGTGAGTTTTGAGTTTTTAAGGTGTCAGTTCACACTGTAGCCAGGAGAAACTTGAACTCAAGCAAGGGGGAAAAGGAAAAATCACATACGTTGAAAGGTACCGTCGACGTGCGCCCCCGTGATCTTCTGGTTGAAACAGTGATTCTCCGACCCGGCCTGGCAAGCCTGACACGTCCCGCAGACATTGCTCCTCCAGGCGATGCCCACGACGTCGCCGACCTTGAACCCGTTCAGACCCTCCGTGCCCATGGCGACTATCCTCCCCACGCCCTCGTGGCCGCCCGTCAGCGGTCGCACGGGGTCTTTGGGCGCAGGACCACCTCCGTCCCGGGCGTAGACGTCACCGTGACACACACCGCTGTACTCCAGCTCCACGAGGGCGTCATGAGGACGCGGCACGGGGATCGGGACGTCTTTGATCGTGTACGGCTCGCCATACGCGCCGGTCAGAACGGCCGCTGGGGCAGTTTGGGGGAGGTCAAAGCCCATCGAACCCATCCCTCTTCCCGCGCCTTGGATCGAGGGGTTCGGCCCTGTGGAGGGGATGAGGTATGGTGGGTGTGTAGTGACTGGCCGTTAGTGGAATTGTTCACACGTGATATGGGTGGTTGACAGAAGAGGTGCGCGGATTGATATATCGACGTTTTGTTAAATTGACATTGTGTTACAGACGCGGCCAATACTCTCTTGGGGCCGTGAGAGACAGAAGCCTGGTCCTTTCTTTTCCCGATTACCCACACCGTGTGACTGTGTTCTCCTCCCGTTTGGAAGGTGTGCTCCTCGCGAGCCTCATAAGCGGTCCATAATTTGGTATCTGAACTCGAGCTGCCGAAATACCCGGTAACTCCCCGGGCAGCGGAAGTGACCCGCCGCCTTCTTTTTTGGGTTCTTCGGGCTCAACTCTGTCCGCCGCGGGATGTGACAAAACATACGAGATGTAAATTTCTGCAGATGCCTTTTGTGCCGATTTCTTCGTGATATTCTCTGTGAATGTTACCCGAGATCCAGCTGTAAAAAGAGGTGATGTCGAGAACCACGTTTGAACAAGAGAATTTCTAGTGTTGGCGGGGTAACACAAACAGGCAGAGAACACACTTGATCATTTCTGGACGTTGAAGCATCGAGCGATAATGTTCTCCTACCGTTGGCAAGCTGTTCATGAGCTGGGTTCATTATCAGAACAAGTTGTCGAGAGGTCGTAGAGGTATGTTATGGATGATCCCCCTTAAATCGGCTGTCTTGGCGAGGCTGGGAAAAAAATAGGGGCTACATTTCTGTGATTGCCAGATCGATCTTTTTATTCATGCACCTTCAGGTTGTTATCAAGAGAGCATGGGTGCATCGAACCTCTTCCCGTGAGCCTCATAGATATCTGCGCAGAGAGATACTCTACCAGCAGACAAAGTCAACGATTGGCACAAGCTCTCACCACTGCCACGTCAACAGGTATGCGAAAGGAAGTTCTTGCTACTTATGCACCGTGTAATGCGCCGCGATCCAGCGACTCTCAGGGATGGGAAGAATGTCTCTCCAATACTCGGCGAAGAGAGCATGCAAGATCTGACCAAGTGGCTTGGCTGCCAGCCTCGTAGCCTTGCCTGTGGATACACGTAGGTACAATTATGGCACCAGCGTGAGTCTAGCGAACCTAAACCCCCAGAGACCAATCAGATGATGCCATTCAATTTTAGGCATCAATCACCCCCAGACTTTATTCTATCACTGGCAGTCGTGTCGGTTCGAGCTGGGTCCAGGCGTGGGTGGGTGTGATCTTCCTCTTCAACTCTTGTTGTCTGACCCTGTAAACTTCTTTGCAACCGTCTCTCTCAGGTCTTCAGAGAGCCGTCGCTCCATCTAACCCTACGTCTGCACAAACATTCTTAGCTCCCGAGGGCGGTGTAAACTCCAAGACAGTTACTGTTTGATCTTTCAAGACTTCAAAGCGGCGGTTGCAAAGCGCTTCATTTAATGCAGCAGACGTAGTCGAGGACAAGCCGTCGATCTACGTTGATCTAGAGAGATTCAAATCCGCCTATATACCCATCATCTTCCTACCAAATGCGATGTGAGCGAGGGGAGAGGCCCAGCAAGGATGCCAGACCAACCACTCATCTCGCGGCACAAGGCAACCGCAACGGCAAACCTCGGTTCCGTCCCTTCGGAAATCCTGCAGCAGATATTCTATTTCAGCACCACCCCGACCTTCTTCCAGCTGATTCACGTCAACCTGAGATTCTTCTCACTGGCGTCGCAAAGTCGGGAAGTCATCCTCTACCATCTCCGCCACGTCCCCGGCCTGAAGCTAGGGTTGGAGAACCGGTCGATCCCGACCAGTGAGCTCTTCCTCATCTTCCGTCAACGCGCCACTTCGCATCTCTATGGAGTCAATTTCACCGCGGACTGTCGGAGTTGGGACCTTCCCAAACATACGTTGGGCACCATCGATGCGCGCGCATCGTGCCTCGGCGTCGAGAGTGAGTGGGGGAACAACGTGTGTCTGGTCGTGAAGAACAGCCTCCGACTCCGATTGAACTGGCATAACGAGTTACCCGGTGAGAGCCTCGAGTCGCCGTACGCAGATGGGAGTGCGAAAATCATCCAAGCCGTCCAGAAGAGCCACTACATCAGTGTGTTGTACGCTTGGACACCACCGAAAGAGGATCCCGCCAACGACACGTCCCATTACGAGCCGACGACAGTCAAGTCATCTGTGAAAGAGACTCTTGACAGCCTCACAGCCAAGCATCGGTGTCCTCGGTCTGATCGAACTCCCTCGTTGCAGGAGAGGAATCACCCCAAAGTCTCGTCTTCCTCCTCTCGTGTACACTACCATCTCCTCCATTATGACATGTTCCGGAGTGATCGGCCCGTCTTCTTCCCCATACCGACCCACAAGTCGATCAACGACAATGTTCTGGTCCCCGTCCACCTGGCGGTCAACAACCGGCTCCAGTGCGCCATTCTGTGGGATCTCCCAGATACGTTGACCCCGACGTCAGATGCCACGGTCTGCTTCTACACCGCCGACCGCCTCCCGCGCCACGAGCCGGGCGATTACAGCGTCTGGGTTCTCTACCCCTATGACCGACTCAGCCCGATCTACCCGTCCCGGTCAGGCGAGCGGGTCGTCGGCCTTACACGGGAGACTGCAGACGACGACGCCGACGGCAGCGGAATCACCTACACGGTCACCTCGGTACGCGAGAAGTTCAACCGCAGCGGCCGCCACGATAGCGGGCAGGATCTCCGCCTGTTGCATTTCCCCCTGCGACCGCGCGCCATTGCATTTTTCAAAGACGGCCGCCGCCTGTCCCTCTACGCCCCCGGGTCGACCGTGCCGTTCACGACGCTGCTGGCCAACGAATCCGTCCGCAGCCGCGTCTACAGCCCCTCCGTGACCCCCGTTCTCTCTCCGCCGCCCGACGACGCGTTCAAGATGCTGCGCAAACGCGTCCGGCGGGCTACCCACACGGCCATCGACGGCAACCACTTTTCGCTGGGCTTGCCGTTCTTCAGCACCCACGAGACGACCACGTTCCCGCCACCGACGACGACCGCGGATTCGGACCTCGTCGCGCCGCCCGACGTCGAGTGCATCAGCCACGTCCTCTGCGTGGGCACGGCCAAGCTCCCGACAGTCCACATTCACACGTGCGGTGGTCTCGTCACCGAGACGGGCCCGCAGGTCCTCACGATCGTGCAGATCCGCGAGCGCGTCCTCTACGATCTCTGCTCCCACTCGAGGTTCAACGACGACCTGCCCGCCCTGCCCCGCCCGCCGCGCCCGTCCCGGAGGAGACGACACTCAAACGTCGTCCACGTCCAACCCCACGATAATCCCCACCCGGATGTCGTCATGGTCTCGGACGGCAACGGAGTGGAAGAAGACGATGACGACAACGACGATGACAATGACGATGACGATGACAACGATAATAACGATGACACGGACAACAACTCCGAGGCCGACGCTGATGAGCCCGACTTGGACACAGACGCTGACGACACGGACGCCGATACCTTGCACGGCACAGACCTGCGCGTCGCCGCCAGATTGTGGGGGTGGGCTCCCCAACGCACCACGCTGACGGGGCTGGACACCATAAGCATATCGCCCAGAGGGGAGCGCATTGCCGTCGCACAGTGGGATCGCGTGCTGGTGTATGCCTTGAACCCGCGGGCGCTGTGCGAGGAGGCGTGGGACGAGGACAGCGATAGCGACGACGCCGGCAGCACAGGCACCAGCAGCAGCGAGAGCAGCAGCGAAAGCGAGCACGAGGACAACGACGCAAACGTCTTGAACACGGCGGAAAACGTGGCCGGTGGCGATCACAATCCCAACCCTCAAGGTGACGACAACAACCACAATGATGAACCTATTCCGGCGTCTTCGGCTCCGACAATTCCACCAAAGGCACCCGGATCCGTCGCCTCTAGCACATCCACCTCGCTCTCGCTCGCGGACTTAGTGAGCTTCTACCCGCGTGTGAAAAGCCGCTGGCCTCTTGAACGCACCATTGAGCTCCGACCGCTCGTGTTGAAGATGGACGGTGGAGCCGTGGTACGGAAGATGTGCTGGTCGTTGGGAAAGCCACACCGGGTCGACGAAGAGCCGGCCAGCGATGTGGGAGACGTATATGCAACAGGACAAGATACGCAGGGGTTAGCGAATGAGACGAGAGGTGTGGAAAAGGAAAAGGAAAAAGAAAAAGAGAAGGACAAGGACAAGGAAAAAGGAAAGGAGAACGATAATGAGAATGTAACAAGCAACAACACGGCCTCGCTGACTCCACAGCAGGAAATTGCAGAAGGTGAGAGATCCGAGAATTCGGGAACGTCAGTAGCTATTGGAAGTTTTCGTCCACACGATCGACCGCAACCCTCTGGATTACCACAGTACCACGACCAATCGTCACCGATATCAGATTTACAGACTCCCACCTGCTCCGAGATTACGTCTACCCAAATCCAGGAGGCAATGATAGCTGTCTCGTATGAAATACCCCCAGCACCATTTTCGCAGTCCAAGTTGATCGGACAGATCAAACATATTGCTCGTCCTCCCGACTACCCCAGCATCACAAGCACGATAGTCCTTGAATCCCCTGAGCCGAAAGCTGCAGGTTCAGCAGAGGTAGACCAAGCCAAAGGCAAGGAAATTGAGGTAACGGAAGCTTCAGCTGGAGGGAGAAGAGACGAGCCCCCACCAAAAACAGACCAGGAACGTGGTGCGTCGACCGCTCCAGAGTTGCCTCACACAAGGAAATCGGAGCCGCGGCGCAGAAGGAGTCCACGGAGGAGGGTTGCCGAGAATGAATTGATCGTCCTGACTGACAGAGGCTTACAAGTTTGGGATCTCAGTGTCTGGGGAAGAGGTAGGCGAGTGTATTGCGAGCTTCCGGATGATATTCTGCATTAGCTGCGACGGCAGATTTTGGAGTCCATTGGATGCATACGGTGTATTTCTGATCGGAAGGTTGACTGGCGAATGGGTTTGC